TCTTCTCTACTATTAATATTGTTTATCACTTTTTTACATAACTCATCCGCTATTTCTAGATTCTCAATCTGCTTTCTAATTAGCTTTATCTCAAGAGAGTCAATTGTCTTGATACCTACTAGCCTTTCTTCATTTTGGAATCTATTTGCTCTTGCCTCTTTAGATTTTCTGAATATCATCTCCTCTTTGTCTATTATTATCTCTCCATTTTTGATTATATTCTTAGGCAGGGCTCCTACTATTAGATTTTTCCGCATTCTTCTAATATTTTCCTAATCATTTACTGAACTTTTTGGTGTGCCTATATCAACCCATATTTCTTTTCTAGATTTTTTGACAACTCTGCCTATCTCAATAGCATTATGTATGTCTTCTTTATTGTCTATTAATATATATTCTCTTTTTCTCTTATCAGAGGAGAGGTTTGGCAGCCAAATCTTCATTGCTAGACCGTTACTGCTGCTGAGTCACCATTCTTCTTGAAGGTCCCTTTTGAGTGGGTCTACTAGCAGTATATTTTCCAAGCTTTGAAACCATTTTGCCTTTCTGTCTTTACTTGACATATTTCTCAAAACCTTCATCTGCTTCCATGTAATCATTTCTGAATCTTCCAAGTTGATTAATTGATATGTGTAGAATACTCCTAACTTTTGCAGACTTTTAAAATCTTGTGTCGTTAAACTAGAGCCGATAATCTTTCTGATAGTTTTGCCAAAACCATGTATCGCCCACTCTGACTCATCAAGATCGATGTAGAGGTTGGACTCTGCCATATTTCATAGAGTTGTACAGGCTAGATTATTTCTTCACAATATTTTCAGACTACTATCTTTGAAACTGTCTTTAATGTTCTTGACAATCCCTGCTTGTAACAAGCCCTGTTTAATTTGCAATTTTGCAAAAAGACTTTCTATACTTTGACTATTGAGTCATTTTAACAAACTTGTTGTCTTTTTGGTTATTAGCTCTTGCCACAGTGGCTTGCAGTTGCCTAGATTCTTGTGAAATATTGCAAAGTTGCCCATTGTACTAACCATCTCTGCTTTGTTCTTAACTAGTCTAATATATGGCTAATGGATCATATCTATTGAATTTTTTGACAATTTTGTTGTTTGTAGCAAATAGCATAACTTTGGAATTATACACATATTATTTATATATGCTAGTTGGCTTAGTGTCATCTTTTTCAACCTTAATCCCTATGCAGTTTGTCTTACTATCTCTTTTACTTTTGCCTTTATATATGATTCTTTGAGTTTGTTGTTTATCCAGACACTAAAAATTCTTGTTATCATATTGCTTTTCTCTGCTCGAACTAACACATTACCAATCCTGACACTTGCGTCCTCTGTCTTGCTTTGGTTCACAATAACTAGCTTGGATTTATCCCCATTTATCTGTATGTCACATAGTTGAAAGAAGTCTTCCGCCACTTTAATAATTTCCTCAAGGTTCTTCTTTGAAGATGCTATCCATGTCGTGTCATTGGCGAAAGCCACTACTGTCTGGGTTATATACTCTTCGGACCAGTGGTTAAGCTGCAGGTCTGTTGATACTTTTAGGCTAATTGTGTAGCCCTAGCTCTTCTCTTTGTTTATCCTATACAACAACGGATCATAGAATATGCACCACAGCAAAGGAGAAATTACTTCTCCTTGCTCTATGCCATCTAGCAGTTCCATCTCTTCAGTGTTTCCTGCTGCCGTAATAATTATTGCGTGTCTTTTGTAGAATAAATTGGAAATAAACTTCCTTCCTTCTACTAGTACTTTGATACGCTGGAGTGCCAAATCGAGCATCTGTAACGACACCGAGTCAAACACCTTTCTCATGTCTTGTATCAACAACCAGGCTTCTTTTTGATTTTCCTTTGAATCTTCCAAAATTGAGTTGACTATGTGTATAGGAGTTTCTGTTGATCCACCTGAAAGGCTAGCGTAGTTTGGATCTATAAGGATTTCTTTATTGACTAGAACCTTGGAAAGCCTTCTGGTGAAAATTTTTGTGGTGCATTTCCGAAGTGTCTCGAGCAAGACAATTGGCCGAACCTTGCTCAAGCAATAGTTCCAATTCGTATCTTTAGG